GGTCGGCAGGGGGTCTAATTCCTGAGGGGGGTGGGCGGCGGACGCTCCCACCCCCCCATAAAACCGCTACTAATTTGACCCTTTGATATGTTTTTTTTTATACACCGTGAGTTGTGAAGGGAATAGATTCATTGAATGAATGAAATGAATTCACAACCTCAACAAGAACATGGTTTTAGTGATAACAGCAAAAGAAGAATCAAAGCATGGCAGGCGGAGCACTAAGCAGAATGGTATAAGAGCAGAGCTGATCCATGAGCAGAAAATCAGAAAACTATTAATTTTTATAAGCTAACTGGTAAAAAGAAGTCTTAGAATTGTCAATTTTACCAACGAAGCGAATAGATGATGCCTACATTGAGTAATGTGATCTTTATTTTTGTTGACTAAAAGTTCTACAAGTTCTATTTTTTTTTACTTAAAGTTCTACAAATGAAATTACTCAATTAATGAAAAAAAATTCATTTCCTTGGCATAATTGACGGTTCTAATAATTGTTTTATGGATTAGCTTTGCCCGTATAAATTAATATTTGTCCGCTTTTCTGCTCTTAGACCATTCTGTCCATTGACTGGTCACCCAAAGCATGTTATCTAAACTTAAACACAAGCTAGCGCAACTGAGTTTCCACCACATTTGGTTAACCCACTCATTGACAGGCATTAACTGGCTTAGTCCACATCACCTAGACAGCGAATTTTTACCCCTGGTTGCTTCTAAAACAGCCCTTGATTACTTTTGAATCAAGAACGCTGACTCTTGCTTCATTTTCAAAGAGTGGAAGAAGACTCTTGGTTGCGTGGCAACATATCTGAAATTGTGCCAATGTTATGGCACCTACCTTACTTTTCAACCCTTACTTTGTTGCGTGGTCCATAATACGCTTAGCCTTGATCAATTGTGGCATGTCTATGTTGCGCACTTGGCCTATGAATAGGGCCTTCATGGTCACTATTTCTCTGTTCACCAGTTGCATAAGGCATTTTGAGCACTCATGCGCGTATAGAAAGAAGGACAAACGCGAGTCATTGTCGTCCACGAATAAAGAGTTGTGTAGCTCGATTCTTTCTGTAGTATAGTCGGGGTCTAGGAATATAGACGAAAAGCAAATTAGACGTGACCAAAAATATGAATTTAGACGACGTCAATGCAAAACTACAAATATGGGAAATTAGACGGAATTGTATTGTTAAAGTGTGTGAAATATATCTACTGCCTACAACTAAATTTCGCTGACTAAAATTAAGTTTCGCTCGAGTTTTCTTAAATGCGAATCAATTTTTCTCAATTGTATAATGTATGCGTTTCAAAAATGTTTGATAATAATCGGATAAACGTTTTTATAAATCTTTTATCACACAGCGAGCTTGCGACCGTTAGTGTAATAGTACGAACCTACTTTTCTTCTAACCTAACTCGCAAATAAAAAAGTTCATTAAAAGCGTTTTATTTTATGGAAGTTTCACTGTACCATTGGAATTTGCATAGCATCTGTTCTCTGCTTTATTTGTGTCTAGCGTATGTCATTAATTGAGTGCTTTGTGCGTGAGACTCATTTTCTCTTGGTCGCAGTAGGTCATAGGTTCGAGTCCGAGACGTAGCCGAATTTATAGTAATTCGAGGCTAATTTCTACTTTTTTCTTTTGCTTTTATAGATCTGCTTTTTGTCGTGTTCTCGCTATTGTTTGCGAAGCGCAGCTTCGCCTCTATGTATTAAAGTTTTTGATATATATACACACACACACACACAAACACACTTTTTTTCGTTTTTTTTTGCAGCCGTCTAATTTGCTTGTCGTCTAATTTCCTGAGATGATAACCTACCTAGTTATACACTAGTTTAATGATTTGATCACTAGCAAATCTTCTTTGCCTGAGTGTGTTTGTATCAACTATGAAATAAAAAGCAAAAGGCTAGGGTTAGCTAATTTATAATCATAGAATTTGGGCTCGATTATGTTGCCTTCTAAATTGACTTGCATTGGTCTGAGAAACTTATATTGTATTGCGTCAGCTTAAAGAAGAAGAAGAAAAATACATGCGCGTGAGTCAGTGTTTGCTGTTAAACTATTTTGCTTTGCTTAGAGTCGTTGCCAAACCGTGAGTAAGTTGTCTTAATTAGGGACTCGACCCCAGATTACCCTCCATTTTACTTCACTCAGTCAACTTTTGCCGCCTTCAGAAAGCTGTCACTCGAAGTCTGCTAAAAGACCTAAATTTCACTTTTAATGCTAAAAACCGTTCCCCAAATTCCATTACATATATCAAGTTTGTTGAATGAGTCGAAATAATTCATATTTATAGACCGATTTTTTTGTTCGAATCATATTAATTTACTGTAATCAATACACTTGCTAGCCTATAGTGCTAGTACCAACCTGCTTTTTTAAAACCTAACTCGGATATAAACAGCCTATTTTGGTGACACTTTTGCTATAATCTCGATCTGTAGCATTGGAAATTTCATAGCATCTGTTCTCCTCTTTTTTTGTGGTTAGTGTTTGTTGATCGTCCGTGGTTGAATGTTCAATGCATGAGACTCATAATCTCTAGGTCACAGGATCGAACCCGATACGTAGCCGAATTTTCCCCAATTCGAAGATTTTTTCCGCTTTTTCTTACTTCACTGACTAATTCCACGATGCTGACTAAATCCAAAATCGCGCTGCATGTTAGCGTTCCACCAAAATTTTATTCATCGAAACTTAAGTGGCTGGTGGAGATGACAATTTTTCGCGCGTATTTGATTGTGGCTACGTGAAAAAAACTCTATTTCGATCTTGAAACGATGAAACTTTGACAATTTTTAGCCTTAATGGAAGTACTCCATCCTCCCCATAAAGAGAACACAGAAAATAGTTATGAAAAGATGTCTCTAAGCAAAATATACCGACTTCGCATATATATATTTTTCATTTTCAGCCATTGAGCCGAAGCGTGAAGCAATTTGCTTCAGCTGCAGGTACTGTATCCGGTGCAGGCTGGATGAAGGCAACCCAAGTCTGTAAGTTTAGCTAGGTTGTTACCATTTTGTGAAGCAGTAGGTTTTTTTTCTATATTCTAAAGCGAATACAGCGAAATTCAAAAGCGAGAGCGAGCGATACATTCACAAGATCAGTGACGAAAGGGACGAGCATTATGGTACTGCACAGAATAACAGCCACCAACTTAACACTTTCGGAGTTCTGGATAATAGTGAATTTCGGTTGCCCCGCTGATTTCATTACCCAAGGGACCACTTTGCGGAAAGTTAAGTTAGAGCGTGAACGCACTCAGAGAAGTAATCCCCTGAATCTACATTGGCCCTCCTGTGCGGGCTATATTCTGGATTGTAGTTGTGAAAATACGTGCTTTGGTTGAACGCAAAAATCTCGGGTGAAGATGAATGCCGAAGAGCCAACGTTGGGAGCCGACGCTATAGTTGCAGCCTCAATTGCGCTCGACAGACAACAGGGGTTACTCGGATTTGGAACGATCCGACCCAAGAGATTTCCCTCCAATAGCTACCAGAATTGACCAGACGGCGTGAAGATGAAAATGATAGAGTGGTGCTGCCTACTTGCTTGACGGGCTGGGTATTTAATGAGTTGAAATTTTGAAAGTTCATTAAAAATTTTGGAATGAGGGTGGCTCGAAAAGATTATGATAGAACTATCATCCCCATTACAACCGAATATGTATCTGTTGCCAACTTTGCAGACGTCTGATTAAGTCGGTCTGTTTTTGTATCAAGCCTGATAACCCATTGAAGTCTATAGCGAGGATTACTTTTATCACTAAGAAACTTCTTTTATTGAGCCTCTGTGTTTTTATCGCCTCTGAACTGAAGTACCAAAGGTTGGGTAGCTAATTTAAAATCAAAGGCAACGATGATGTTGCCTTCTGTCTTTTGGCTTGTATTGATTAAGAGTAATGAACGTAGTGAAGACTCTTATATAGGTCTTGCTGATTTTTTTTGTTTCTTTTGAGAAAAAAGTCCTAAAATGTGCATCAAAGTCTCCAATAACTACATTTGTGAATTCATACCAGGGGCAGATTTACAGGGGGGGGGGGGTGCGGACGCCCCCTACTCATGGATTCGAACCCCTGCCGATCCAAAGGGTCACCCCTTTTGTACTTTTTAAGAAATTTTTTTGCCGACCGACCCTAAAATATTTCTAAAAGCGCCATTGGCGCCAATATATGCTAACTTTCAAAAGCTTCCAAAAAGTGCCCGAAAACGTTTTTTTACCTGTTTTTTTTTCAAAAATTTTTCTGCGGAGCTAACAGTTTGGCCAAAACAGCGTCTTTTTAGTGCTTTAAGAGAGCACGGAAAATCAATTTGCTAAACCTGAAAAACGTTCGTCAAAATTTTTGAAATTTTTTGGGAATCCGCCCCCCTCGAGAAAATCCTAGATCCGCCCCTGATTCATACATATTGATGCATTTATGAATGCACGTAAATATTTATGCACTTTTCGAGTTCAATTGAAATTCTTCTTCTGAAAGTGACGTAAATGGCATTCTTCAAATACGAACGTGGAAATGGCGCGAAAAACGTGAACGATTTCTAGTTTCGAAATAGGAATTTAATTTTAGATTTCCTTCGGAATAAAAACTTAACCTGATGATCCAGTTTTCTCAAGTTGGGTTTATGTTATCAAAAAACGTCAATCGTAAATGGTTTTAGAAATTCAAAGTAAAGGGCATCTATTTTTTTCTTTGAAATTCGAAAGTTGAGATCTTTTCAACTAAGTCAGTGTGTTTTTCAAATGTTTACTTGCGTTCATTACTCTTTTCCAATCTTCGATTGGCTATGGTTTTAGAATTTTAATTATATCATTGCGTCAGCTTGTTGAATGAGACTAAAAAATTCATCTTTATATACCAATTTTTTGTTTGAAGAAAACTTAATGTGCCATATTTATAATTATATATTGACGCAATGTTCTCGGTTTAGTTTTACTATAGAACTTTCTAGATGTTTCGGATTTACCAGTTCATTGATTTGCAATATTTCAGATTGCGTTGTTTGAGTAAAATTCAAGATGGTCGTTTTCAGCAGGCTCATGTGCCGCTCTTTGCTGACTAAATCCAACATAACGCTACAGGTACACATTTCAACTAATCTAATTTTGGCTGGTGGAGATAACGGTTTTTTCGCTTTTCCGACCCTGAGTATCAAAAAAAGATATTCAAATTTGAGCTGAAAAAGATGACAAACGGAAAGAGGAAGTACTCTGTATGACCCCCCTAAAAAGGGTTAAATCTCCAAAAACCAGTATAAGAGAAAAAATTTTCACTTGATAGTCAATAAATGTGATTTTTACAATATAAAACCCAGAATCTCTGTTTAAAAATAAATTTTAAACAATTTGCGCAAATTTTTGGAGATTTAACCCTTCTTAAACTTTTTTGGGCTGTGTAAGAGGCTTCGTGTGATATAATTTTCTTATCCATTAAAAAAGTGGTTTCAGCGTATTTTTTGATTAATTGAAAAAAAAAACCAAAATGACCCATTTTTGGGGTAAAATTTTTGTTGAGAATTTCGGAGAAAAAATGGCACCGTATTAATTCTGGTGAAATTCTAAGCAACTTTTGTTCTCTTCACTTTTTGTCTAATCTTAACCCAGCTTGAGAAAAACGCGTTTGAAACTTCAAGTTTTGTTCGATTTGTCCGGATAATTAAAATCCGCACTGTATAAGCATTACGCACCGACTTTGCATTATTAATATTATTATGATTTTTTCATTTCAGCCTCTGAGCCGAAGCGTAAAGCAATCAGCCTCAGCTGTTGGTAGTGGATCTGGTGCAGGGTGGATGAAGGCAACTCAAGTCTGTAAGTTGAGCTTGGTTCTTACAGTTATGCGAAGGAATAGTATTTTAATTTTTATCATATTCAAAAGCGATTATTAAAAAAATACGTGAAAGGGTGATTAGAGCGTGTGAAGTTATATTCGAGAGATTAAAGGTAAATGATGAATAATACTTTCACAATCAGTTTCTCAAAAAGGTAGCGTGGTGTGTAGATTGTTTACTGAATATCTAGAAACAGGGTCACTTTAGTCCAATTGATCTGTCATGCTAGCGAACAGCGAAAAACTTTTTTTACTTGTTGTGGGTATAGAAGTTTATGATGCAACTTCTGTTGTATATGGTCTCTGCTCTCCTTACTTAATTAATGCTTATTGTTTTCTTTCGTGTTGTAGCTTCTGACTTGGGCAAATTGGCAGTTTTGGGTACTTGTGCTACTGGGTTGGGTGCACTTTGTGTGTATGGAGTGTTGCAGCCCACAAGCGACTCGGTGTTGGACCAATCTGTGTAAGCATTCTCATTTTGCTGTAAGATTCTGAAGCACATTTAAAAATGAATATTGAATTGCAAAAATGAAAAAACAAGTTTTCCTAAACTTCAGGTTCTGATCACGTTGATTTTTGTACCCGAGTTGGCTATGACAGCGAATATTTCAAAACAAATTCGATTGAGCAATTAAACATAATTTACAAAAATCTTATTTGTTTATCTGAAACAAGTGATTTTTCCAGTGCGTATCCGGCTTATGTTCGCGAGCGAATTCGATCTACCTACTTGGCGTTTGGGTCTGGGTTGGCAATGACAGCCGCAACAGCTGTAACATGTGCCAGAAGACCTCAAAAGCTCATGCCTCTTTTGAGCCGGATGAGCACCCCTATGGGTGCAATTGGCGCCATGGCTGTATGTTTCGGCAGCGGAATTGCCGTTCAAGTGACACCAACTCCTGAGAAAGGTCATCTGGGTTTGAAGCATGCTGTTTGGTGTATGCATTCGGCACTGTTGGGAGGCTTGATTTTCCCGGCCATTGCGATCTATGGTCCTTTGGTGGGCCAGGCTGCCTTGTATACTGGAGGAGCATTGGCTGGTTAGTTCATCATAATATGTGAAAAATTATCAAAAGCTGGTTTTAATGAAAATTTTATATGCATACTTCGTGTTTCATATTGCTGATTTAGTCATGAAGCTTATTTCAGTCGGTACTTGCTTTTTGTTTCAATTTTGAAAGTCAGTGAGTTAGCAAAAAAAAACAATCTGTTTTCAACTATAAATTTAACTGATTAAAAATCATACTTTTCTCAAAAATTAAGTTATGTATTCGACTAGGGTAGCTTTCTCCTTGCACTTCAGGATTTTTTCAACTGTTTTCCCCTTTGGCACCTAGTAAAATTTTAGACCCCTGCAAGTGACTAATTAAACGGTTATATTTGTACAAATCTATGTAATGAACTCATCTCAACGCCCCCCCCCCATCTGCAGTAAAGGGCAAATATTTCACATGATCGGCATTTTCTAATCTTTTCAGGCCTGAGTGCGATTGCAATCACAGCCCCCAGTGAGAAGTTCTTGGTCGGGGGAGGCATGCTTGGAATGGGCTTCGCCGCTCTCTTCGCAGCCAATATCGGAACCATGTTCGCGCCCTCCATCGCCCAGCCTTTTATGGTCAATGTAATAACATACGGGGGTGTGGTTCTGTTTTCGGGCTTCATTCTGCACTACACACAAGGGTTGGTACACAGGGCCAAGGCTATCCCACCCGATGCGAATATGCCTGGAGCGAGGCCGAATTTCGACCCAATTAACAAGTGAGTGGTTTGTTTGCCTAAGCTCTTTAAATCATTTTTTAAACAAAATTTGTTCGCTTACTTTTTGAATCGAAAGTTGAGAAACAACTAAGCTACGACCCAACACAAGTATGCTGCAAAAAAATTACTGGAAACATATCAATTGCCAATATGTGTTCATATTGGATCTACTTATCAATCGCCCTCCCTTTGGTATCTACTTAAGAATCTCCACCCCTATAAATAAATGCAATAAATAAGCACTGAGCTTTCTTTTGAAAATTCTAATTTTGCTGCAATCTGATTGGTCGAAAATGCGTTATTTTAATCTACTTAACAATTGCCCCCCTTTCTTAAAAAAGGGGGGGAATTTTTAAGTAAATCCTTCATACTCGACGAAATAGGAGTTTTCAATTTTCTGACGACAAATTTAAATCATAGATCAGAAACTTCCATATGAAAATTCTGTTGGTCGTTTTGTTATATGGTTTGTTTTGTTTAGTGCCATTGGACTGTACACCCACACTCTCAACCTCTTCATGCATATTCTGCGAATGCTCGCGTTGAACCAAAGGAAGAAGTGAGAAGCAACTCGACCGTAAAAGCGAACGACTTGGATCTGAATGAAGGAAAAGACTGCAAACATGGAATTAAATTTAACGGACTGAATGAAACCTGTGATACCTATGACAAGAATAATCGACGCTCATTAATTTTATTGCAAGAGGCTAGATAGAATAGTGTAGAAAAATTCAAAGTTTGACTAGTTTTGTTGGCGTATATGTAAAAGCAAAGCAAATTTCGCTCTCCAATGCCGAAAGTGCAAAGCTCGCAAAAAATTGGAATGACTTTCATCTTCGAAATATGACTTTCAGTCTTAAGATTTCAAAGCGGAAGAAAAGGTTTTTATTGATCCAGTTTTCTCATACAAATTGTGAAAACTTATGTGTCAATCATAAAAAATTTTGAAATATTCAAAAATAATCGGTTTTTTTTTCTGGTTTCTTGAATTCAATGATGCATTTCCAAGTTTCTATTGGCTATTTGTGGAAGTTTTCAAGTCCCCTATGTTTTGCTGGGCGTGTTCACAGCTTTTCCTCAACTATTTCTTACTGCCCATTGAAGTTTTTTTCGACATACTCAAAACATGAATTTAACGGAAAAGCTTTGTCCAGTAAAACATTCAGAATCTTGAATCATAATCCAGATCAATAAATGATATTACAAGGAGCTCGATTTTTTCTGGGAATGTCAAAACAAAATTCTTGAATAGGTTTTCATTGTTTAATCAAAGAAAATGAATTTCAACGGGGCTTAAATTCCTTGAAAGGCGGTTTCAGCTGTGTTTTCTGAGCACTCTAAAGTCTTGCAAAAAAGAT